AGCGGTCCCCACACGACAGCTCATAGGGGTGGGCCCACCCTTATCTGGACACGTCAAGCCAACTAGCCGCCAGCCTACCTTATCCTTATCTTATCCCTTATCCCTTATCTTTATCTAATCTTATCTTTATCTTTATCTTAAGTAAGAGTGAGTTACCATTAGGAGTTTGAGTTCAAATTGGAGTTTGAGTTTAATTAGGAATTTACCTCTGTAATCTCTTATTTAAGGAGCTACGAATTGAAATAAAGGCATTCAGTTTTTCAGTCAAGAAAATAGTGAGGAGAGTTCGGGTGGTCTCTTGGACAAATCACCCCAAGGGAGAGTTCGGGTGGTCTCTTGGACAAATCACCCATTCAATTTCCGCAATAGGGTCTGCACGCAAGGGAAGGTGCAAGGGGAAGCAGGGCTTTCGCACCGTGGACCGGCCCGTGATGGGATCCTACGTGCGGGGACCATAACATATATGCTTTGGACAGTCCTGTTTGGTTCGCAATCAGAAATAGAATCGAAATTTTTTGGAATCAGAATCAGGATGGTCTATATTAATAGTCTGTTTGGTTTAGATAGGAATGGAAATGGGAATGGAAATTAAAATTAGCTAGAATGGGATTTCAATTTCAAGGCAGGGGGAGGGAATGGCCATTCCCTCAAATGGGAGAATGGGAGTGACTGAATGAGAATGGGATTCCAATCCCTCCCAACCAAACAGTTGGGATCATAACAGCCCATTCTGATTCCCAAATCCCTATTCCCGCAAACCAAATGGATAATCTTGAAAGGTGGTATACTTGTTTCCTAGATAGTAAAAATAAAATAAAATAAAATAAAATAAAGGAAAGAAGAAAGGAATCACATTATTTTACTTAGATTCATTGTTACTCTTATGCTCCTCTTCACTAAATGTGTTAATTGTTTATCTTTCATATTCAGTTGGAATTGGTGAAACTAGTAATGTCACCGATAAGAACAGACTTCAAGTTACAATAATTGCAGTATCAACAGCTGTTTGTGGGATGCTTCTCATGGGTGTTTTTGGTTAATTTTTGTGGAGGAGAAGGCTGACAAAGGAAGGTAATTGCTCTGTCTCCTAATAAACATACCTTACTAACATAAGAATTATAGCTAAACTTCATATCCCTTTCTATAGTACTAATACAAAATAACTCATTTTTGTACTGAAGCAGTAGACTGACTTATTGTGTTGTACAATAGATGGAGAAGAAGAAAGCATATATTATTAGAGACTAAACTTGTAATTTACAGTTTTAAAAGTTAGTTACCATTAGTCAATATTAGTTACAAGTTTGTTAGTTAGTTTTCCTTTTCTTTTTTTTTGGCTTCTTCATTTGCTCTATATAAACCTCTTTGTAATCCTTTTCACATCAATAAAGAGAATTATCTCTCTCTCCAAATTCTGTTATGGTATCAGAGCATTCTACTTTTTCTGCTATATCATTTTCCGGCGTCGCCATTCTCACAAACGCGTTCAAAGATAGGCTCTCTCCTTTTCCCGGCATTTCGTATCAGAAGGTCTAATGATTCTTTTTGATCTTCGGTGCTATCACGGAGAGAAAGATCTCGAAGAGAGTTGTTCCGACTTCCAAGGCTTGTTTCTGTTCTGTTCTTCCATCAGATCAAGAATACTAAGGATGATGAATGAAAGGACGCTCCTACAATTTCTTCAATCGAGATATCAAGATTCTTGAATTTCTGCATCGTCTCCGACTGTAATCGCCTTGAAGATACTCAATCGATCTAGTCACCCTTTTGCCGGTAATCAAACACAACATCTGAATCTTTTCCAAGGACATAGCAATGTTCATGTTATCTGCCTCTGCGAATCCTTCGCCTCCAACGATGACTGTTTAGAGATCCTCTTAGGTTGATTCTTTGCATTCTCTCCATCAAAAGATTCCTCAAAAGTTGTCCGAGAAGTCGAAATCCTTTTAGAAGAGAAGAAAGATATTGCAGGGTCTGAAATTCTATTGAAAGGGCAATACGACCAGAAATATCATTTAGGGAGGAAGAGCTCCGTACTACGATTACAGAGTGCCATGGCTTATTGCTTTCTTCTTTGGATAATCTCGGTAGGGTTTTCTTGGCGTTGCCTGTTCTGATTGTCGGCGTCCCTTCGGTCTTCCACTTGCATACATCGGTGGGGGCTCTTGGATGAAATTTTCTTTTCTCAGAGAATTTTCTTTTCTTTTCTTGGCGACTAATCTTGCTCAGCCACAAAGTTTTTTTTCTCTCAGAATTCAAAAACAATTGCAGATCTTTAATCCTCATCACATTGCGATTACAGATTTCACAAAATTAGTTCAATTTGATCAAGCTTTTCTACTGAAATCAGCATAGCAAACAATGAGATTCCTCCTGTTGTGCAACAACAAGTTGCAATTACAGCAAGGCCTAAAGATACACCATCAAATCCGTTTTACCTTCATCCGAATGAGAATCCATCTCTGGTGTTAGTTTCACCAGTTTTATCAGGGCCTAACTTTCATTCATGGTTCGGATCTATGCAAATGGCTTTACTTTCAAAGAATAAGCTTGGTTTTGTTGATGGAAACATATTAATTTCTTCGAAGGATGATCCTACTTATCCAGCCTGGCAAAGATGCAACACTATGGTATATTCATGGTTAGTTCATTCCTTATCACCATCAATTGCTAAAAGTATTTTGTGGTTAGACAATGCTATGGATATTTGGAAGGACTTGTATGATAGATTTTCTCAAGGAGATGCTATAAGAATCTCAGAATTGCAAGAAGAGATTTATAATTTTCAACAAAATTCACTTTCTGTTACTGATTATCACACACAATTAAAGATTCTGTAGGATGAATATGTTACTCTTAATCCTATTCTAGTTTGCACTTGTGAGCCCCAATGTTCTTATCAAGCACTCAAAGATGTTAAGAAAGCTTATCAAAATGATTATTCTATCAGATTCTTGAAAGGCCTCAATGATAATTTCTCAACAGTTAGGTCACAAATCTTCTTGATGGGTCATTTGCCTAACATTAACAAATTGTTTTCTTTAGTGCTTCAGCATGAAAGACAGTTCAATAATCCTGTGATTAAGCTTGAGGAACCAGCCTCTGTGTTCTTGACTCAAGGACAAGGATCTAATTACAATCGAAGACCATTTGTTCCACAAAATTCACAGCAATCTCAGAGATCTTTTTCCTCTTCTAACTCTGGTTCAGGAACCACTAATTCAAGAAGGTCCTATGCCAATACAGGATCTAAGCCAATCTGTAGCTATTGTAATACTCCAGGACATACAGTTGAAACTTGCTATAAAAAGCACGGATATCTAGTTGGCTATAAAGGAGGAAGAGGTAGATTTGGTTCAAAAGTTGCGAATTAGTAGATGAAGGCACAGATGTTCCAGATTCTTCAATTCCTAATTCTACATCTAGTGTTCATAATGGATTCACTTCAGCCAATAATGTGGCCACTTCTCCAATTACTTAGGATCAATACAATCAGCTCATGAGTCTACTTCAGCAAGTCAACTTTGCTCTTGGTTCTGCATCAGCACCTTTCTCCACACCTCAGGTCAATCGGTTAACATCAACCTTTGCTCCAATTGCTAATGAATCAGGTAAATTCATTTTTTTCATGCACCATTGATGATAATAAGTCTCATCAAACACACTGAATTCTTGATAGCAGTGCCACTGATCATATAACCAATAGCTTATCCAATTTTTCAACCTATACACTTGTCACAAATACACATGTCATTTACCCAATAATCAAAAGGTTTCTGTTTCTTACATAAGAACTATTATATTCTCTTCCAATTTTGTACTTCATAATGTTCTTTATATACCTCATTTTTCTTTCAATCTTATATCTACTAACAAGCTTACTGATTCATATCCTTACTGTCTCATTTTTCAACACAATCTGTGTATCCTCCAGGGTCATCAACGTTGGAAGATGATTGGAATAGATAAAAAGGTCAATGGCCTCTACAAGCTTGTCCTACCTTCTGTTTCTTGTAACTCTTCTATTACTTGTAATCCTACCATTACTTGTAATTCTGTTTCTATTCCTTTTGGTAATAAGACTACTGCCACTAATATATGGCATTTTAGGATGGGGTATTTGTCCAATCCTCGATTGAAACTTTTGAGAGCATTGTATCATTCTATAACACTACCATCTTCAAATTACTGTTCTATATGTCATTATGCCAAACAAAGAAAGCTTTCATTCCCCATTAGTCAATCTACTTCTCCAAACTGTTTTGATTTGATTCACATTGATACATGGGGTCCTTTTTCTACTCCTTCATTTTATGGACATAAATATTTTTTGACAATAGTTGATGACAAGAGTAGGTTTACATGGATATACCTTATGAAAATTAAATTTGAAGCTAGACAACATATTCAAAATTTTTGTTTTTTGATTGAAACTCAATTTTCTGCAAAAGTAAAGTGTATTAGATCTGATAATGCTTTGGAATTTAACATGCTTGATTTTTATACTTCAAGAGGTATTGTTCATCAAACTACATGTGTATATACTCAACAAAATTCTATTGTTGAGAGAAAACACCAGCATATTTTGAATGTTGCCAGAGCTCTCAAGTTTCAATCACAACTTCCCCTTTCCTTCTGGTCTGACTGTATTTCTCATGCAGTCTATCTAATCAATAGAACTCCTTCCCCAATCATTTCAAACAAAACTCCATTTCAGCTTCTTTATAATACTGCTCATTCATTTGATCATTTGAAAGTTTTTGGATGCCTTTGCTTTGCTTCTACACTTGATACAGATAGAACTAAGTTTGATACTAGAGCTGATCCTTGTGTATTTCTTAGCTATCCTTCTGCCACTAAAGGTTTTCGTTTGTATAATTTCAGAACAAAAAATGTTATTGTCTCAAGAGATGTTCATTTCTATGAACACTCGTTTCCTTTTCGTTCTAATTCTTTTTCAACAGATAATTCAGACTTTGTTCTTCCCACAGAATATGCAGTTCCTTTAGCAAAACCCTTTCCACCTTCTTTTACATCTTCACCTACTAATCTTCCTCACATCACAACTTTACCTCTCACTAATCAATCACCACCACTTACCACTTCTGATAATACCACTGTTGATTCACCCCCTTCTACTAATGTTTCACCAGATTCTATACAAAGTACACATTCTGAAACTCAACCTAGAAGATCATCCAGACCTCATATACTTCCTTCATATCTTGATCAATATCACTGTCAAATACCAAATCTTAAAGCCAACTCTGTTTTCAAAACCTCCAATCCTCACCCCATATCTTCTACCTATTCCATTCACAAATTATCTTCTTTTCATAGGATCTTTGCTACTTAAATCTCCCAAACCAAAGATCCTAGAACCTATAATGAGGCTATAAAATCACAATGCTGGAATGATGCAATGACACTTGAGATTAAAGCATTAAAGCAAAATAATACTTGGGTTTTAACCGATTTACCTGCAGGAAAATGACCTATAGGGTGCAAATGGATTTTTAAAACCAAGTATCATGCAGATGGCAGCATTGAAAGATACAAGGCAAGATTAATTGCCAAGGGCTATACTCAACAAAATGGCATTGATTATCTTGATACTTTTTCTCTGGTTGCAAAAATAACAACTATTAGATCTTTACTTGCTGTTGCAGCTATTAAAGATTGGCATTTGCATCAACTGGATATCAACAATGCCTTTTTGCATGGTGACTTACATGAAGAAGTTTACATGACTCTTCCCCCAGGTTTTGAAACTTCTGATCCTTCAAAAATGTGCAGATTAACTAAGTCACTCTATGGTCTCAATCAGGCAAGTAGACAATGGAATAAAAAACTCACTGATGCCTTGTTGTCTCAAGGATTCATTCAGGCAATTTCTGATACTTCTCTGTTCACAAAACAAACTGGTTCTCATTTTATAGCCTTGCTAATTTATACTGATGATGTCATTTTGGCAAGTGACAACATTGATTTGATAAATGAGGTCAAAAAGTTCTTACATGATGCTTTTAAAATTAAAGATCTCGGCCAAATCAAGTTCTTTCTTGGCTTAGAAGTTGCCAGATCCACGACTGGCATTAATCTCAGCCAAAGGAAGTATGTGATTGATCTCTTGGAGGAAACATGTTTTATAAACAGCAAGCCAGTGTCTACTCCTATGATTACTTCTCAAAGACTTGATAAAGATGCCGGTACTCCTTTAACAGATGTTACTTCCTACAGAAAATTGGTTGGCAAATTAATTTATTTATGTAACACAAAGGCCAGACATTTGTTTTGCTGTCCAACATCTTTCTCAGTTTTTGGACTGCCCTACAGATCTTCATATGCAAGCTGTACATAGAATTCTTCGATACTTAAAAGCTAGTCCTAACCAAGGTGTGTTCTTCTCTGCTTCATCATCTCTACAGTTGAAAGCCTTCTCAGATTCAGATTGGGCTTCATGCCCTGATACCAGGAGATCTATCACTGGCCATTGTGTTTTTTGGGAGGTAGTCTAATATCTTGGAAATCCAAGAAGCAACAAACTGTTTCCAAATCTTCCTCTGAAGCTGTGTATCGTGCCCTTGCTGCTGTTACATGTGAAGTTCAATGGCTTATTTATTTATTAGAAGATTTGCAGATTCCTCAAGTTGCTCTTGCTCTTGTTTTTTGTGACAATCGATCAGCTCTTCACATTGCTCGTAATCCAGTTTTTCATGAGCGTACAAAACATATTGACATAGATTGCCACATTGTAAGGGAAAAATTGCAAGCTGGTTTGATTCGCCTGATGGCAATAGCTTCTGAAGACCAATTAGTTGACTGCTTCACTAAGCCCTTGCCACCTCACTCATTTAATAGTTCAATCTGCAAGCTGGGCATTCAAAATTTGTATGCTCCAATTTGAGGGGGGCTATTAGAGACTAAACTTGTACTTTACAGTTTTAAAAATTAATTACCATTAGTCAAGATTAGTTACAAGTTTGTTAGTTAGTTTTCCTTTTCTTTTTTTTTTGGCTTCTTCATTTGCTGTATATAAACCTCTCTTGTAATACTTTTCATATCAATAAAGAGAATTATCTCTCTCTCCAAATTCTGTTATATATGAAGTAAACAACAGGGATTCTAAAGCGCTAGAAAGTGAGGTGAATGTTCCAGAGCTGTCTACATTCAGTTTTAGTGGCATACAGGCTGTAACACACAACTTTTCTGAAACAAATAAATTGGGAGAGGGTGGGTTTGGCCCTGTTTACAGTAACTGATGGTGATAATTCCACATTGGGTTCCTCCATTTTTTTCTCATCAGTAAATTTCAGACGGGGTTAAAGGTTTCTTATGTTATAGGAGCTCCTAAAGCATGTATTTCCACTCTTGTAGGGAATCTTGCCCGATAGTCAAGAAGTAGCAGTCAAAAGTCTTTCTAAGGAGTCAGGACAAGGATTCGAGGATTTCATGAACGAGCTAAAACTAATCGCCAAGCTCCAGCACAGAAATCTTGTTAGACTCTTGGGCTGTTGCATTCAAGGAAAAGAAAAGATACTGATATACGAGTACATGCCCAACGAAAGCTTGGATAAGTTTCTATTTGGTTAGTTGTTATTCCTTTTGCAAGCTTTTCAGTAATTGGAATTTCTTTAGCATTATAGGCCCAAGCAGTATTTCTACATACATTTTAAACAAGGAGAAGCTATTTCTTGTCATGGAAACTACAAATTAAACTAATGTCAATTATTTTCTATTGGAAATTAAATGTGACTCAGATCCAACCAAACAATCAGATTTGGATTGGTGCATGCGGTATAACATTGTACAAGGGATTGCTCAAGGTCTTCTTTATCTTCATAAGCACTCCAGAGTAAAAGTCATTCATAGGGATTTAAAAGCAAGCAACATATCAGATTTTGGGATGGCCAGACCGAAGCAAACACCAACAGATTGGTTGGGACATTGTAAGTTCCATTTACGTGTGCTCGTAGTACACGGCCTTAACAAACGTTGAAGAAAACAAATTTAGTTTTGACTTTTGAGCATTTAATTTATTGCGTCTAATATTAATTGCTCTATATATTGAAATGCATGATACACAGTGGGTACATGTCACCCGAGTAGCTGAGGATGGGATCTTCTCTGAAAAATCAGATGTGTTCAGCTTTGGGGTGCTATTGTTGGAAATTGTGGGATGTATCCTACCAATCAAACCCTATCTTTAGTGGGATACGTAAGTATGATCGGAAACATGTTACTTGTTAGTTTGTAAATCTTTCTTTTTTTCCTAATTAATATACGCATGGAGTGACGGGACTGAATGTGTTGTAGGCATGGCAACTATGGAAAGAGGATAGACCGGTGGAACTGATTGATCCTTCAATTAGGGGGTCATGTATTCCGAATGAAGTTGTGAAATGTCTTCATGTGGGGCTGCTGTGCGTCCAAGAACTAGGGGTGTCATGAAAAATCAAAAAATCGAAAAATCAAAAAATCAAAAAATCAAATCGAATCGTAAAATACGGTTAATCAAATCGGTTGGTTCGGAATTTTTGAAAAACCGAAGGATCGGTTTGATTTTTTATTAATTTATAAAAAATCGATGATTAATTGAATCAATCGGTATATATATTTTTAATACATGTCACATATTATTTTATATAAATATATATTCATTATATATAAATTTATACTTGTATTATATTTATAATGATCTATTTACAAATATATTATATATTTTTAAAATATTTAAAATATATTTTATATTATTTATTATTTATAATATAATATTATACATATATTTATATAATATATATTATAAATATAAAAAATTGAAAAACTGAAGAATCGAATCGGTCAAAAACCGAAACTGAGACTGGTTAACTAGTGGTACTGGTTCAATTTCGATTTGGTGAAATGAAAAAACTGATACCACCGGTTTAATTTATAAAAAAAGACTATGGTTCAATTAACCGAATCGTGAGCACCCCGATCAATTGATCGACCAACAATGTCTTCTGTCATTTCCATGTTGGGTAATGAGAGTGCAATCTTGCCAATGCCTAACGAACCTAGAAACACTACTGTTCTTCTTCAAGCACGATTGACCATGATTCAATAAACGGGGTGTCAATGACCATGATTCAACCCCGATACGAGACATAAGATAATTCACTGTACGCCATTTTCATTGTTTTTCCTGTGTGGATCCGTATTTGAGCAAATTTCTCCACTACTAAATCAAAGTTCAAAGTATGCGACCTACCTCTGTGTATGGATACTTTAACTGATACACCCGTAAGCAAGCGTATTGGGCCGAAAGATTGTGTCAATACTTTGAACTTGCACTACACAATAGAAATACAAAATGCTTATAGCCCACCACAATGACGAAAGAAGAACAAAGTTATGTGAGTGATAATTAAATATGTAGTTTATTGTCTCTCATGCTCAGTTTGGTAGAATACAAATGCAAATATATAGAGTAAAAAACCTTTTATATTTTCTATTATTTTATATGTATTTGCGTTGTATATATTTGCATTTGTACTTTTTCCAAACTGAGCCTGAAAGGTATTCAATACAAATATGTTGTACAGTGCAAATATATAAATAAGACAAAATATTAGGTTTTGACGTTTTGTGCTCTACATATTTGTATTTGTATTTGTATTTGTACTCCTTCCAAACGCACTGTGACTTGATCTTGATAAGTGATTTCTGGTCTTGCAATTCCATTTCACTTATGATGAAGAGTTAATAAGCATTCTGTTGTCTTGCGTTCTGAGTAAACACTAGATATGTCCCAGTTGGCCAGTCCAACTTAATAAAACAATTATAATTGCTATATTTTTTTTGGAAGTATAATTACTAGCAACTAAAAGAAAGTAGGCCAATATATAAATTATTGGCTTATCTCTTTTTTTTTTTATAAATTTTAATTTTGTGCACGATTTAAGGATGAGTGGTTATGGCTTATCTTATAATAACTAATAAGAATATAACTATAAATTAATAATTAGCAAAAACTAAAATTGATCTAAGTATAATAAATATTAATATAAATTTATGTAACAATAATAATAATTAATTAATTAGTAACATTAATAAATCCATATTTAGTAAAACTAATAAAATTATAAAACTATGTAAGTTTCATTTCAAAATAATAATTTAAATTAAGAAAATTAATAAAATAAAAACTATTCATTTCAAAATTAATTTTAATCAATGTATATTCACTTTAATTACATTAATAAAAATTTAAAATTGTTTAATAGAAAATAGTGCAACTTGGATTTTGGTCGAAAATATGCCCAAAAAAAAATGCTTGAGTTGGGCATGGTCCAATTTGACTAACGCAATGCTCCTTATGCCACAATTTATTTTAACAAAACATGTGCATCGCATGGCTCTCAACTAGTAAATAGTTAAATCACTTAAAGTTAACCAAGAGAGAGAGAGAGAAAACTTTTCTCTCATCTAAATTCCATTTATTTGTTTTATATTCAAATTCTATTTAATTGGTTATTGTTAGAAAATTATAATTTGAAAAATAATAATTAAATTAGTAGCTCATAAATTAAAAATTAAAATACATTTGAATTCTATATAAAAATAGCTAATATTAATAAGATAATTAAAATTAATAATAAGGAGTAAAAAATATCAAAAGTATAAAACAAAGCATTTGCATTCCATATAAAGATTATAAAATTATTTAAAATAATAAAACTTATAACCGTCCAACTAGAAATGTCATAAAACTCGTACTTTGGGATGACCATTTATAACTTGACACAACTCGATTGGACCTACAAATTTTTATATTTAGCTGCATCCACAATCGCATTCGATTATTATGTTGTATTTTAGATTAGAGACAAATTTAATCTGCAACCATCTTATTATGTTTAAAATGACCAAAAAGTTTAAAAGTTTTAAAAGAAACTAATTATTTTTAAATTGTATGTATAATAAAAAGTCCAACTCTTAATCAAATGAAAATTCTAACATCCAAATCCATGATAATTGGATTTGGAGTCAAATTGGATATTGGACTTTCGAAGTCCATTGGCAGCCCTAACTAATATAAGCAACCCCTAAGCTCAACCTGGAAGTTATATATATAAATACATACTATTAGGGCCCCATGAGATGCACAGGAAAATAAAAAAAGTTGATTAATTTTATTAATTGATCATCTGAAAGATGTTAAGGGAGTATTTATTTTATTTTTTTAGAGGATAAAGTATAGGGGGAGTATTTATTTTATTAATAGAACAAATTTTATATTAATATATGGATTAATTTTTTAAACACTAACACACATGTCCTTGTCCCAGGCCCAAACAAATATTATTACGCTTTGGGTATGGGCCAGGTTGAGCTAGACAACCTTAAAAATTATTAAATCAGTATCAATATATGGCCTGAGATCCTTTTTAATTTGGTTCATCACTTGGCTATACAACGTAGTAGCCTACCCCCATAGTTCATTCAAGTTTAATATTAATAATTTTTATCTAAAAATAGTTAAAAACCTAAAAAAATGCATGCAAGACCTGTACTTAGTTTGGTCTAGTCCAATTACAAATGTCACATTGCTCAAGGGGTGTAGTAACTTGGGCGAGTTAGGTCAGGTTGAGGATCAACCCAAAGTTTTAGATCTCAAGCTTGGGTTTACATTAATTTAGTTATGACTATAACATCATTTTGTATATTTACACCGGTGAACATTCATCGGTGTAACAACTCCGGTAGATCGGCGGTGAGTCTTCTCTCTCTCTCTCTCTCTCTCTCTCTCTCTCTCTCTCTCTCTCTCGTTCCTCTTCTCACTTCTTCTCTTTCAAATTTCAGACATCGGCGAGGCGGCGAACACAGGCACTGGCGGCGGCGGCAGTGAATCCTCTCTCTCTCTCTCTCTCTCTCTCTCTCTCAAACGCAAACTGACTCTTCTTTTCATTGTCAAAATCGCATCTCACTGCGAAGTGAGCACCGGCCGGTGAATCCTCTCTCTCTCTCTCATAGACGCGAACTCAACACCAGAGAACACAGTCACCAGCGGTGAGTTCTTTCTTTTGTTAGGTTGGGCTTTGGGCTCGGGCTTGAGCCTAACAAAATCATGTTTATGAAGAGTAAAAGCCCAACCCAACCCATGAACAGGTCTACTCTCTACTCAAAGCTCATGGTTACTAAAACACTGAACCACTCCCTTCTTTATTTATTTCTTTTCCCTTTGTCCTACCTCTCTTTTTTGATCTATATACAATTGTTTCCATTTGTGTTCAAGGTAGAAGACATCAATACAAGGTATCTATTTCATTCCTAATTCCGTCATCCACCATACTCGTTGGCAGATGAGAGAATAGAATGAATAACAATTTGAGATTATTATTAATTAAAAAACCAGAAAACAATAGTAGTTTTACACCTCAACCGGTTCAGTTTCAAGGTATGTAGAAGACAATGAATGGTGTCTTCTTTTATTTGAAGGGTAGTTTTGATATTTTTAAAAATTTTAAGTTGCATATGTGATCACGTGATCAAATAATTGATGGTCAATTAACGATAGGGAGCAACTTAACACCTTTTGAAAGTTTGGGTACTGTAGTGACACATTTAAAAGTTTGGGTACTAACTTGACACTACCCCCAAAGTGTAGGGTACTAAAGTGGAAATTTCCCTTAATCTTTATCAAAATAAAACAAATAAAATAGAACAATAACAGATAATATGAAAAAATAATTCATTTATTAAATAATTAAAATAATTTATTTTTTGTTAAAATCTTAATATTGTTGATGCTCGGATTGACCAAGGTCAGTACTATCACTTCACTCCTAAGCCCGAGGGGATCCGAGGTGCTGGAAATCTGAGGACAAATGTGACCAAGGAGTGAAGTTTGAAGTAAAGGAGACCTGATCTCCGAGGTCCAGGGGCCATAGTGTCTGGTATCCAAGGTGAGGAAGGATCTCGGGGTCGGTTCTGCAAGGAAGGACAATATCGAAGGCCTTAAGTGAAGACTCGAGGCGAGGACTCCGATGGTCAAGTTAGTAAGGAGGTACGAGATGGACAAGGTTTGAGGTGTGAACGCCCAAACGAAGTTACAAGAAATGAAGTAGTCTCAAGAGCAAGAGAGAAAGCTTGAGTGTCTAATCCTTTACTTGGAAGGGGTTGCCTCCTATTTATACTTGAACTGGCTTGGAGGTAGGTGAGCTCGGATGGTGGGGATTGAGTCTGTACACGGAGTACATGGCCATCCCAGGGCACCAAGTGACCCCACACCATTGGTTCCCCACTTTGCGTCGAGCTAGGTAACGCACGCTAACTAATTGGCTCAGCCCTAATGTGTGCCGCTTGACACGTGTGAGCCCTGCGATTGGTTTGGGCCATTTGCGCCTACATCATCTGCCCCCCACTCCCGAGGTTGTGGAGGAGGTCTAAGCTGTGAGGGCTTTAGCTTCCGCCGAAGGGAGTGCATTGTCTCATGCTAGGAGGCGTTGATGGACTAGTGCGCGTCGTGGCCTATGGTGGTGTCGGTATGCCTTTGTTTTAAGAGGATAGTCGAGGTGCCCGTTGGACCTCGTCTTGGCCGTTCTTGTGAAGGGGGCTTGGCTTCAGCTCCGAGGCCGCATGGCGTGAGGACGAGGGGGAGGCTTAACCCCAGCCCTGTGAGTGCTGGGTGCGTCCCCTGAGTCCTCGGCCTCGGCTAAGGGTGCTAAGGAGGAAGCACTAGGCTGCCCGAAGCGGTGGTAGTTTTGTGAAGAATTCTGTTTCTACATTGCTGCGGATCATGGAGTAAGCGATTCTCGGAACCAGATTTGGGTCGCACGAGTCATGGATCCCCGAATCAGCGTGTTGGAGACCATTTTCGCAACGGGTTGCTGAGTCGCTACCATAGGCGGGATGAGATGTGGGTGAACCGGGCCACGTCTGTACTAAGTCAACACAATCGGGCGGACCAGTGAGTCACGGGGAGGAGAAGCATTGGTTCACCCAGTGTCGTTTCGTCTCCCCGAGGCTGGTAACACATGTTGTTCAGCGGGCGGGGTAGCAAAGGCGGTTGTTCGTCAGCCATTGTATCTGGCGCAATCTGTGCCATCCATTTTCCTTTAAATA